GCCTCAGGCATCGCCCCCAGGCTCCCGGCTGCTGCTGCTCTGCCAGCTGAGAAGCCCCCGTGGAGGCTCCAGGTGGCCTTGGCTTGGGCAGGACAAGGCGGCCAAGGAAGGTCCAGTTGAGAGCAGAGGTGGAGCAGGAGCAATGGAGGGGGCTGAGGCAAGGAGGGACATGGGGGCTGAACCGGCCCCACATCTCCCACAGGCACCGAGTGGGCAGGAGTGTGTCCCAGCGTGTCCCAGCGTGTGTCCCAGGGGCGTTCCCCTGCTTCTCCCTCCTGTCTCTGCAGCGGGAGCTTGGGGTTTGCCAGAGCTCTGCCGTGTGCAGAGCGGAAGGTGCCACCTCTGCGGCAGCTGTGCTCAAACGAAGCTGCTATTGTAACACTGGCCAGGGCACACGTACACACAGCTGCCTGCCAGGAGGACATCTGCCTCTGCTCACCCTCCAGCTTGGCCTCGCTCCTGCCCTTTGGGGCCCTTCATGTCCCCCCCCGGGAGGTTTTCGGTGCGCTGGCTGTGCTGGAACTCGACCACGTGTCCCCCAGCTCTGGGATGCTGCTGGTTTGGGGCTGGGAACCCGATCCCCTGGTGCAGGGTTCCTGCACGGTGCCTGCTTCCCACCTGGTGTCACTGACATCCCACCCGAACTTGTCACCGTGGGAGCTGCGGGGTGCCAGCGGGGACAAAGTCATCGGGGGACACGGGGATTTCCCCCGTTCCTCTCCAGCAGCTACAGGCAGGGACCCGCCATCTCTCGGAGACCCTGAGTGTGACAACACAGCCCGAGTGAGCGGGCTCCCGCTCTGGAGGGTGACAAGGCTGGCGACAGCTCCCCCAGGATGTTCAGAGCCCCAGGTATCGGTGTCCCAGCGCTGTCTCCGAGCTGATGTGAGGAGCGCTGGGTACCGCCACAGGGACCCCCGAGCCACGGAGGGCCCCGGCCTCCCACGGCCCCGGGAACGGCCCCGCTGCGGGGCGAGGGTCCCGACTACAGCATCTCGGCAGAATCTCCAGCTCAGGTTGTGCCGTGCTGGATACGGCATCTCCATGGAAACCCCCGGCTCGGGCGGTGCGGGCTTGGGAGATGCCATCTCCACGGAAACCGCTGCGGCGCCCGGATGCGGCCGGGATGCGCCGGGCACCGGGTACCGCGGCGGGAGGAACGGGCTGTGAGCGGTGCGGGGCCATGGGGGCTGACACACTCGGGGGACCTCCCCCCTCCCCGGCACGGGACAGGCTGGGGAGAGCATTCCTGAGCCTGCCGTTCCAACCCCAGCCTCGTCTTCCCTGCCCCGTTTGTCCCGCACTGTGCCGGGCTGAGCCTCTCCCCTCCGTCCGGTCGGGGGGTGGTGCTCAGCCCCTCTCCCACCCGGGGGAGTGGAGCTCAGGCCCGTTCTGGGGAGGACCGTTCCCAGCCCATGGGGGCTGGAGGTGTTCAGGGACACGGAAATTCCCCGATCCCAATGAGCGAAGGTAAGGGACGCCAGGGATCCACCCCAGGGATCCACCCCAGGGATCCACCCCAGGGATCCACCCCAGGGATCCAGGGGTGCTCCGTGATGGCCCCAGTGATCGCACTCACATCCTAAGCTTGGGAAGCCAGAGGGACAAGATTTTAGCTGCAGAAGCAGCCCAGACGAAATATTTTTCAGGTTATTTATAGCCTGCATTAAAAAAAAGATAACAAGAAACAAAACAAAACAAAAATCCCCACCCCCCCAAAAAAACAGCGACCAAAAGCCTTTTGTTTGTTGATTTTAAATCTGCCTTTTACTCCATCCCACTGCCCCCGGCCTCCCGGGACGCCGGGTGCAGGAGCCCGGCTGCGCCGGCAGCTCCCGGCCCTCGCTCTCGGCTGGGTCCCCGTCCCGGGGGACCTCGCGGTGGCCGTGCCCGTCCTCAGCCCCGGGGCAGCGCGGCCGGCCCTGCCCCGCTGCGCTCCGCCCGTGAGCCGGCCCGGGCCCGGATTAGCCCCCGCTCCCCGCTGGCACCGGGAGCAGCGCGGCCGCCCTCGCCGCGGCTCCGGCTCCGTAAGCCCGGCTTTGACGTAGCCCGGAAAGTAGGCCAGTAAGAGCAACCGCAGCCGCTCGCGGCTCTCGGGGGACGGGCGCTGGGGCGGCCGAGGGAGAGCTGCGTGCTCGCACCGCGGCCCCGCCGCTCCCGGGGCGGCCACAACGGGGCTTTGTCCGCCTTCTCCTCCGCTCCGCACCGGGTCTGGCAGCCTGCGGCCGGCCCTGCTGTCGCGGGGAGAGCCACGATCAGGCCGGGGAAGTCCCCGCAGGGATCCACCCCGGCCCGCAGCCGTGCCAGCTTCCCCGGGCCGTTTGTGTCCCCTCGCGAAGGGCTCTCGCCCCCTTCCCCGCAGCCCTGGGAGCTGCCAGTCGGCATCCCTGGCATCCCCCTTTCCCGCGGTAGACCTGAAACGGGTTATTAATCGAAAAACCCCAAGCTCCTGTGCCCAGTAAATCCATTTCTGGCAGAGGAGTCAGAGGGACAAGCGTTGCCGCGATGTGGGGGCTCCAGATGTCGGCACCAGTGGTTCCCCCGCACCAGGGTCCCTCCTGCTGAACCCGGCAGCTCATGCTAATGCTCTCCCCGTTTATTTTTGAAGCATCTCTGGATACTGGAAGCCCCGGTTCAAGCCAGTCCAGTCCTGTGCTGCCGTTCCTCACAGGATGAGGCAGATCCAGATGTGTGGCTACAGCTGTTCCCTCCCACGCTGAGCATCGCCCACACTCAGGCTGCCAAACCCACCAGCTCTGTGTGAGGCAGGGATCCACGCAGGGCTCTGCACCTCGGCAGGTCTTGTCGCCGCTCCCGGTGACCCGGTGACAGCTGCAGAGCTGCTCGCTGCAGGTCTGAGTTGGTGTCACACCCGCCGGCCTCGGTCCTCTGCGCGTTCTGCCCCTCAGGACTGCCCTGCCGCCACCACAACCTTCCCGGCCCTGGAGGAGCGGCGCATCGGAGCTGGGGAGGTCCCAGCTCGGGCTGGGGCAGGGCCCGTGCCCCCCTCCTCAGGGACACAGGTGACACCGGGCACGGCAGCATCCTTTGCCCTGGGGTGAGCCACATTCGGGGGCTGAAGGCACGCGGGGGGCTCCCTCTCGCAGGTCCTGCTGAGCCTGAGCCAGCTCTGCTGTGACAGGTCCCCCCGAGCCTTCCCAGCCCGGGAACCCTGAGCATCCCGGGGCAGGAGCTGAGCAGCGGGCTGGGTGCCGGGACAGCCCCTCGTGTCCAGCCAAGCACTGTCCGCTCAGGGAGGAGGAAGGCAGAGCCATTGGCCAGGGCAGGCGAGGGAGGGCCCCCAAAGAGGGACAGGGACAGCGGTGCCGCAGGGATCTCCTGGCCTCTGTCGCCGGGGGCTGGGGGGCTCTGGGGGGCTGCAGGCAGGTGGAGGGGCTGGCAGGGGACGCTGCCTTCGCCTGCTCAGAGCGCTTCACCTTTTACTAAAACAAACACGAACCCCCCTGCCCTTCACGACATCCCCGGGGCGAAGGTTTCCCATGGCAGATGGACGCAGGCTCTGCTGGGGCCACCAGCCTGGCGAGGGGCTCTCGGCGTCACGGCACGGAAATGCTCAAATGCTCTCCGCTTCCTTTCGTTTTTTTTTTCCCCAGGCAACACAAGCGCGGCTCCATCACGGGCCAGCCCCGTCTGACCCCCCCGCCCCGGGCGGGTTCTTTTGGTGCTGCAGGGGCCAGAGGCTCTCGGGATGGGTCCCCGGCAAAGCCCCGACACCGACGGCCCCCGGACCCACGGCAGCCCGCAGTCCCCTCCCAGCCCAGGAGGAGCCAGCAGCGGCCGGAGCCCGGCGGCAGCCGCGGGATGGCCGCGGTCAGTACCGGGGGTGCCCGCGGTCAGTACCGGGGGTGCCCGCGGTCAGTACCGGGGTGCCCGTGGTCAGCACGGGAGTGCCCGTGGTCAGTACCGGGGTGCCCGCGGTCAGTACCGGGGGGGCCCGCGGTCAGTACCGGGGGTGCCCGCGGTCAGTACCGGGGGTGCCCGCGGTCAGTACCGGGGTGCCCGCGGTCAGTACCGGGGGTGCCCGCGGTCAGTACCGGGGGTGCCCGTGGTCAGTACCGGGGGTGCCCGCGGTCAGTACCGGGGGTGCCCGCGGTCAGTACCGGGAGTGCCCGTGGTCAGTACCGGGGGTGCCCGCGGTCAGCACGGGGGGGTGCCCGCGCCCCGGCCCCACAGAACGACCCCCGGGCCCTGGCCTGAGCCAGCTGCAAGGGACAAGGGGGGCCCTGGGCACAGCCCGCGCCGGGGCGGGTGCAGTGCCAAGGTGGGAGGAAGCGTCCTTGACACGAGGGCCGCGTTTCCTGGGATCAGCAGCGGCTCCAGCTCCTGCGCTGGGGCCGGGAAGTGTTTCTGCAACCGGCGCTAAGCACAGCCCACGTTGTAAGTGCGGGGAGAGGCCTGGAGGGATCCCTGCCCGGTCCATAAGGCTCTGGCACATCTCTCCACTTGTGCTGGATGCACCAACAACCCCTGAGAGGCACCTCACTGCCACACTCCGAGGGGTGGCTGGGCAAGAGCAGGGGCTTGCAGGTGGGCAGCAGGAGTGGGGGCTGCCCGTGGACAGAGCCAACTCCCAGCATGTGCAGAGAAGCAGCAGCACCTGACAGGTGCCATTTCCAGGTAGTCAGGTTTATTAGGGCTGAGCAGGTACCTTGGGGGTGCAAGAAACAGTTGGCTGAGAAACACCCCCCAGGCCAGGCTTAGCATGACAAGGTGGGGAGAAAGCCCCTTTGGCCAAGATTTAAAAATCTATATAGGTACAAAAATGGGGATATAAAAGATAAAGGCACAGGACAGGATGTTGGCAGCTATTCCAGACCCTCCCCATGCTCCCAGATGTGCTCCACTATGAGCTCTTGGCCAAGATCTCACCCTCAACTCAGCCAGAGCACCTGACCCTGCATGGACCCCAAGGACAGGATGGAGGGCACTGGCCCGACCTAGCCCCAGACACTGCCAAGGCAGCCATGCAGACAGCACAGGAGGGGCAGCCTTAGGTTTTATTGCAGAGAAAGAGGTAGAAGGCACTAGAAAGAACCAGGGGCTGCTCCTGGTTCTTCTGCTTGTTCCAGTTCGAGCCCCCACAGACAGACAGAGGTCTCTCTGCAGACACAGAGCTACAGTGCTCTGCGGTGCTGCACCTTCTCCTGAGGCACAGCCTTCTTCCCTGGTACAGCCTTCTTCCCTGGCACAGCCTTCTTCCCTGGCACAGCCTTCTTCCCTGGTACAGCCTTCTTCCCTGGTACAGCCTTCTTCCCTGGTACAGCCTTCTTCCCTGGCACAGCCTTCTTCCCTGGTACAGCCTTCCCCCCGGGCACAGCCTCCTCCCCGAGCCTGGTCCCGCTGCCAGGGGCTGTGTCAGGGACATCCTCGGCCGAGATGGGCTGGATGATGTGGCCGGTGCGGGTGATGACTCGAGGGGCTGTCAGCTTCTGGAAGGAGCGCTGAGTGTTCCACGTGGGGCCCACGGGCGTCCGCATGCTCCGCTCAAACTGCTGGTGCCGCTCGAAGGGGAAGGGCAGCTCGCTGACCTGTGGGGACACCGCAGGGGTCATGGCCCTGAGCCACCCAGCCCAGCTTTTCCAGCCCAATGACCACGACTTCCCACTTGTCCAGGACCCACTCACACTTCTGCTTCCCTTTCTGCTGCCGGCAGAGCTCAAGAGAGCTGGAACCACCACCACCACCAAGGGAGCAGCCCCGTACATCCCTCCTCCTTCAATTCTGAGTTTCAAACTGGAACCTAAGCACTGGGCAGGGATTACAGGCAGGGATTGTGGACGTTTTGGGAAGGGATCACAGGAATGCCCCAGGCTTGCCCAGGTGCTGGAGCTCTCACAGAGAGCACGAGTGCCCCACCTGATGCGCTGCCGCGTGGATGTTGCGCTTCTCGCTCATGATGACGTGGGGCATGAACTGGTCCTTCCGCGGAGGTGCCGGCGGCGGCTTGATCAGGAACCTGCGGGCAAGTGAGGGGTGAGAGCTGGCACGGGGCTGGGCGCATCCCTGAGCTCTCCCCCACTCACCTCTTGACCTTCCTGGCGCTGGGTTTGAGCCCCGTGCCGCCCCACTCGCCCCAGCCCGGCAGCACCAGGTTCACCGGCTGCGGCTTCGCCTCCTCCTCTGCCTTGCGCTTCTCCCGGCGGAAGTCGGCGACCACGTCGTCCCCAGCAAAGGCCTCCGTGATCATCCCACGCTGCTCCACGCCACCCTCCTGCACAAGGACAAGGCAGAGAGGGTTTAAGGGTTATTGGGGGAACTGGGAGAGACTTGGACAAACTGGGAGGCACTGGGAGAGGGTTTGTGGGTACTGGGGAGAGTGAGAAGGGGGTAAAAGCTACTGGGCATTGCAGGTGGAGGTTTGGGGTTTCTATAAGGGGGTTTAGGAGTACTGGGAGTTACAAGTTTGGGGCTTCTAGTTACTGGGAGGAGGTTTAGAGTTACTGGTTTGAGGTTACTGGGAGTTACTGAAAGGAGGTTTGGGGTTACTGGAATGGAGTTTAGGGTTACCAGGAGAGGGTTTGGAGTTACTGGGACTTAATGTTTTGGGTATTACTGGATGGGTGTTTTGGGTACTGGGGAGCACAGAGGAGGCTCATCCTGCTCACCTCCTCCTCCAGGACCACAGGCAGGCTGGGGCAATCCATCTCCTGGGGCTTCCCGTCCAGCAAAGCCTCCAGGCTGATCATCTTCCTCTTGGCTGGTGTTTTCTTGGTATGTCTGTCCTCAGCTCTGCCTTCCTCCTGCTGCTGTGCTTGCTTCCCTGCTCTCGGGGCTACCAGCTTCTCCTGCTCCAAGGAGCTCTCCACAAGCTCCTCCTTGGCCAGACTCTCCACATCCTCCATGGTCTGCACGCGGTGCAGCTGCTCCGAGAGCAGGAGCTGCTCCTGGGCCTGTGGGGGTGGCTCCAGCCCTGTGCTCACCAGCTCCTCGGCACAGGATGGGGACACTGGGCTGCCCCCCAGCTCCTCAGCACAGGCTGGGGGCACTGGGTTGTCCCCCAGTTCCTCAGCACAGGATGGGGACACTGGGTTGTCCCTCAGTTCCTTGGCACCAGCCTCAGCCTCATCAGCACCTACATGTTGAGGGTAGAAATGGTCACTCCACAGGGCAGAGAATAAGGACAGCTGTGTGGAATCAGCCAAAAGCTGTCCCCAGATCCCCCTTCCTTTGTCCAGCCCCACAGCACTCCCAGCCCACCCAGCTCGGGCCCTTGAGCTCCTCACCATGCTCCTCGCCGAGCCCCTCGGGGCTCCCTGTCCGCTCCCGTCGCTTCTGCTCAAAGTCCTGCAGCAGAGCTTCTTCCTCCGACAGCTCCTCCTCCTCCTCCTCCTCCTTGTTCTCCATGGCACCAGGCACTGTGTCATCTCTTGGACCCTCCTGTGCCTCAGGCTCTGGGGCTGGGCCACTGGGCTTGCCCAGCATCCAGGGGTTAGCCCGGCTGGGCACGGGCAGGGCCGTGGTGTCCTCCTCGGGCACCTCACACAGCTCCTCCTCGGGCGGCTCCACCCGCACCTTCTGCATCAGCTCCTTGTTCCTGGCCAGCTGCTCCTGCATGGCCTTGCGGGCCTGGGGGGCACCCAGAGGCTCTAACACAGGGCAGAGACAACATTCCCAACCTTCCCTGCCCACCTCAGGGGCACCCACCTTCCCTGCCTCCCCCCTTCCCCAGGCTGAGGACCCTGTCGTAGCATTCCAATGTGTAAATGGGCTTATAAGAGATAGAGAGACTTTATACCATGGCTTGGAGGGACAGGACAAGGGGGAATGGCTGCGCACTGACAGAGGACAGGGACAGATGGGATATTGGGAAGAAATTGTTCCCTGTCAGGCTGGGGAGGCCCTGGCAGAGATTGCCCAGAGGAGCTGTGGCTGCCCCATCCCCAGAAATGTTCAAGGTCAGGTTGGCTGGGGCTTGGAGCAACCTGGGGTAGTTGAAAGTGTCCCTGCCCATGGCAGAGGGGTGAAACTGGATGAACTTTAAGGTCCCTTCCCACAAAACCCTTCTGTGGCTCCATCTCACCTCGAGGTCATACTTAGCCATTATGGCCCTGGATCGGGCCCATTTTCCCTTGTTCTGGTGCTTGAGGCTCATCCGCTCCTGGGGGAAGAGAAGCGTCACACAGAGCTCCCCAAGAAGCAGGGTCCTCCTGAGGGCTGGGGCAGAGGTGCCAAGGCAGCACCTGCATCCTGAGCTGCTCCAGCTCCTCCAGCCGTGCCAAGGCAGCCGCAGGGTCCGATTTGTGCAGCTGCTCAAACTCCTTCAGGGCCTGGCGCCTGCGGCTCTTCTTGAGCACGCGGTGGTACCTGCGGCACAGGGGCGGCTCAGGGGCTGCTCAGGGACAGGCCACGGGCGAGGTGGGGCAGCCCAGCCCTCCCAGCACAGGCACAGCCTCACTTCTTGCTCTTGATCCGCTTCGTTCGCCGAGCCTTGGCCTCGTAGTAGGACTGCACTGCCCGGGCCTTCTGCAGCTCCGCACGCCGGCGCTGCGCCTGCCAGGGAGCACGGGGTGAGGGATGGAGAGCACGGGGTGAGGGGTGGGGAGCACGGGGGGAGGGGGGGGGCGCACGGGGGGAGGGATGGGGAGCACGGGGCGAGGGATGG